CACTATGGGGCCTCCGCCGACATCGCCGCCCACTGTGGGTTCCAGCACAGGGGAATGGCTGGAGACAAATGTCGCCAATACAGAGGCCGTATTCTCACGATTCTGAGCAGCAGGGAAATGACGAGCAGTTGCGACGACAGGAGGCTGCGACAGGCCCACATTTGCCGAGTATCGAATCGATGCTTGAGGCAGGTGATGGCCTACATGTAGTGTAGTCAAGGAGGAGGGGTTGGGGGGGTTGTTAATGGGGCGTGGGCCAAACACGGCAGCTCGACAAAGCTGGCGTCAGCAGCTGTCAAAATAAGGCGGTTAGGGTGGTGCTTGGTGCCCAAGGGGCACCACTCGGAGATTTCCTTTGGTCATCGGTTCTGGAAGCCCAGAGGAGAAGACGGGTGAGATGTGATGGACGAACGGACATGGTGGGAGCGAGGTGGTGTGGTGCAGTCGTCAAGCGACACTGAAGAGTGAACGCTGCTCCACAGTAGAGGAGAGAAATGTTGGTTCATGCTGGAAAGCTGTGAGGGAATTTCATAGTAACATGGAATACGGCGAGGGATCGATCGTGTGTGGTGTGGTATTGCCTGGTATTGCGGTGTACAGCGGTTCGAATTGCAGTGCTGCTAGAGATGTGCAATGCATCCACCAAAGGCACCTCGTGGCCAGGTACAAAGAGATGATGACACATGAGTGAACTGGCTGGTGCATCGGATCAACGTAAAGCCGATACACCGGTGGTCCCTTGACTTGGCAATGGTGCAAGCGACCAATTACTAGAGTCTCCCATCTCAGCCTTGCAGCGGCAGTGGCCGAGGCTTATCGTTATCGCGACTTGAGCTTGCTCCGTGACGTGCAACTTGTCCTCTTTGCCTTTCCCATTTGGCCAGGTAAGCTTCGTGCCAAATTGAGGGGCCACGATTCAATTCTTAGGTCATTTTTAGACGACGTTTCCACGACATTGCACCACACGTCGTCTTGGCTGCTGTCTTTATCTTCAGGGCCTTTTCTCTTTCGCCCTTTCCTCCTCTCTGCATCGCTGTTCAATCAGCGCCCAGCACTCTGTTCTTTCAAGCGGCGTGCGCATCTCATCATCTTATTTTCTTGATCCCGCGATACCCTCTTGCATTTCGTCCTTCGACTTGCGCACATTTGCGCAAAACCACAAAACCACACCGCCACCATGGCTTCACTTCGGTTCTCCCCCTTGACATTGGTCTTGGGTAGCATCTTCTTCTTCACCTCACAAGTCTTTGCCGTCTCGGCTGTCCTCGGCGTCGACCTGGGAACCGAGTACATCAAGGCAGCTTTGGTGAAGCCGGGCATCCCCCTCGAGATTGTTCTCACCAAGGACTCGCGCAGGAAAGAAATCTCGGCTGTTACATTTAAGCCCCCCCAAGGCGGCCCCAAGGCTGGCGTTTTCCCCGAGCGACTCTATGGCTCCGACGCCATGGCCTTGTCTGCCCGATTCCCCGCCGACGTCTATCCCAACCTCAAGACCCTTCTCGGCCTGCCCATCGGCGACTCGATCGTTCAAGAATATGCCGCCCGCCACCCGGGCCTGCAGATCGAGGAGAACAAGATCCGTGGCACGGCCGCCTTCAAGAGCAAGGCTTTCTCCGCCGAGGAGGAGGCCTGGATGGTCGAGGAGCTTTTGGCCATGGAACTCCAGAGCATCCAGAAGAACGCCGAGGCCACGGCCGGCCCCGACACTTCTGTTCGCTCCATCGTTGTCACGGTCCCCCCCTTCTTCAGCCTCGAGGAGAAACGCGCTGTTGAGCTCGCCGCCGACCTTGCTGGCCTCAAGATCTTGAGCCTCATCAGCGACGGCATGGCTGTCGGCCTGAACTACGCCACCACTCGCCAGTTCCCCAACGTGAACAATGGCGAGAAGCCCGAGTACCACATGGTGTTCGACATGGGTGCCGGCTCCACCAAGGCCTCAGTCTTGAGGTTCCAGAGCCGTACCGTCAAGGACATCGGCAAGTTCAACAAGACCGTCCAGGAGGTCGCCCTTCTCGGCGCTGGCTGGGACCGCACCCTCGGCGGTGACGCTCTCAACTCCCTCATCGTCGACGACATGATCTCCCAGTTTGTGGAGTCGAAGGGAGCTCAGAAGATCTCTGTGCAAACCGAGGCTGTCAAGTCTCACGGTCGTGCCATCAACAAGCTCACCAAGGAGGCTGAGCGTCTTCGCCACATTCTCAGCGCCAACTCGAACTCGCAGGCCAACTTTGAGGGTCTCTACGAGGATGTCGATTTCAAGTACAAGATTGAGAGGACTGACTTTGAGAAGCTGGCCGAGGCCTACGCTGTGCGAGTCGGTACCGTCATCCAAGACGCCCTGAAGGCCGCCCAGCTCGAGCTCACTGACCTCGATTCGGTCATTCTTCACGGCGGTGCCTCTCGCACCCCCTTTGTCCAGAAGCAGCTTGAGGAGTCTGTCGGCTCGGCGGACAAGCTTCGTTCCAATGTCAACTCTGACGAGTCGGCCGTCTTTGGCGCTGGTTTCCGCGCCGCTGAGCTGAGCCCTAGTTTCAGGGTCAAGGAGATCCGCCTCAGCGAAGGTGCCATGTACCCCTCTGGCATCAAGTGGACCAACCCCAAGCAGAAGGAGCAACACCAGCGTCTTTGGTCGGCTGTCTCGCCCATGGGCGCCGCGCCGAAGGAGGTCACCTTCACCAACCTCGAGGACTTTGACGTTACATTCTACCAGCAAATCGCCGGTGCGGAGCGTGATGTCAGCACCCTCAAGACGCAGAACCTGACTGAGACTGTCGCTGCCCTCAAGGAGAAGTACGGCTGCGAAGACAGCGGCATTCAGTTCAAGGTCGGCGTCAAGCTGAGCGGCGAGAATGGCGAGGTCAAGGTTGTCAAGGCGGCCGTCGAGTGCGAGGCCGAGGTCTCTGAGAGCCTGATGGACGGCGTCAAGAACCTATTTGGTTTTGGCAAGAAGGATCAGAAGCCTCTGGCTGATGGCGAAGCTGAGAATGCCGACTCGGCGGCCGATACGTCTTCTACCGAGTCTTCCACGACATCGACTGCGTCGTCCAAGAGCAAGACCACGTCAACGGGGACTGCTGCTGGCGCCGAAGCCAGCGCTGCCGAGGCCAAGGAGGAGCCCAAGAAGAAGCAAATCGTTTCCATTTTCGTCAAGTTTTCTCTCGAGGATACCGGTTCGCCCTCGCTCTCGAAGGAGGAGCTGAAGAAGTCCAAGGACAGACTGCAAGCGTTTGAGGCTTCTGATAAGGCTCGCCGCCAGAGGGAGGAGGCGCTGAACCGCCTCGAGGGTTTCACGTACAAGGTCCGCGACTTGCTTGACAGCGAGTCCTTTGTGGCTGCCTCGACTGAGGAGGAGCGCACAACACTGGAGACCAAGTCCAGCGAGGCCAGCGACTGGCTCTACGGCGAAGGTGCTGACGCGTCCAAGGACGAGTTCAAGGCCAAGTACAAGGAGCTCAACGATATTGTGTCGCGCGTGCAGAAGAGGGTGGAAGAGGCCGAGACGCGACCCGAGCTCGTCAAGGCCCTCAAGGATGCGCTGGACCAGTCCACCGTCTTTGTTGACAAGATCAAGGATCAGATCAAGTCGTACGAAGAGTTCCACGCGGCGGCCCAGGCTGCCAGCTCTGACACGAGCACTGCCACCGAGGAGCCTGCCTCTTCGTCCAGCACTGACAGCGACGGAATTGAGGATGATGCCACGGCGGAGAAGCCCAGGGACATGGAAGACGTCATCAAGGAAGACGGGCCGATCCCCCCTCTGTACAAGATGGAGGATGTCGACGTCATTGACAAGCTCCACGAGGACATTACATCGTGGATCACCGATATGGAGGCCAAGCAGGCGGCCCTGCCCCCAACGGCGGACCCTGTGCTTCTCGCCAAGGACCTCAAGTCACGCCGTGAGAAGCTCGACAAGGCGGGTGTCGACCTGGCCATGAAGGGCGTCAAGAGCTTCGAGAAGAAGAACAAGAAGGCGAGCAGCAACAATAAGAAGGCGAAGAAGACCAAGACGGCCACGGCGGCCACGGCGGCCACTGGCGACGCCTCGGATGGGCCTGAGCCGATCCACATCAACCTGGGCGAGGACGGCAAGGCGCCTACCGAGGAGGAGATTCAGGAGATTCTGAGGAAGCTGCAGGAGTCGCAGGAGCCGGCACGAGAGCGTGACGAGCTGTAGACAGTTGACCTCTTTTTGTTTCCATTCCACAATTGTTCCCATGATAGACGAAGAAACACGTTCACGATGCCCCTCTCTCACTCACTCTTCTCCCCTAGTGCTACGTATTGCTACTTGTTTGTGTCGTCCCAGCACATGTGAGAAGAATCTGTGCTTGGTTCGATCCTTGACTGACTGTCCCCGTCTCTGTTTGTGTTCAATCCCCGCGTGACGTTGGACCTGGCAGGCAACGGACGTATGCTCCAGTGTATCCGTCACCCCGAAGACGAAGCTGCGCCTTGCCCTCCCCCTTGATTGCTCTCGACTCACGATCCAGCAGCAGCACGGGGGTTCTTCGGTGCCGCCTGACTGGGCTGATGACGCCCTTTCGAGGCCTCGTCTCGTGGCCGCGCCTGCCAGCAATCTGTCTGCCACTTGCTGCCCCATAACGGCGGGTGGACGCATCGGCCACGGGAACACGAGTCGGCAAGGGCAGCGCGCACGAGGTTCGAAAACGGCCGCTTTCTCTCGGGAGGCCAAGTCGCACCGCGAGGCAAGCACAGCGAGCTGGCAGCGTACAGGGCGGAGGCAGTCCAGGCAATCGCAGCAAACGGGCCATCGTCGACTCGCAGCCTCCTGGGCTCGTCTCTCCCCGTCTTCCTGTCGCCCGGCGGACCAGCATACAGGCGGAGGGGACTGGTCAGGGGTATACATATATATATATAACGGGACGAGCGGACGGGATCGGTTATGCAGTCTCGAACGAATCGAGCAAGCTGATCATCATCCATCTCGTCTCTTCTCTCTGCCAGGGAAGCCAGGCTACGTACGTGTCACCACCACTATGGGTTCCTTCAGAGTGGCCCTTGCGACGGCCTCTGTGGCCTCTTGCCTCGTGCAGGCCGCGGCTGCGATGCCGAAGCTGGAGGACCGGGGGATCGAGGCCCGGATCCCCGTCACCGACAGAACCGGCCTGCATAAAGAGGTCTGGGGTGCGACGGCCTTTGCTGCCACCTATGCGCGATGGAGCAAGGAGGTGCCGCAGTCGCTGCGGAAGTATGTCAAGTGGAGCGAGGACCGTAAGTCTGTCGAGTTTGCCAGAGACTATAACATAGTGGCTGTTGGTGTTGACATGTGTAGCCGCTACACTCGAGGCCGAATCCATCTTGGATATCTTCTTCGTCTCCGAGCTCAAGGTGGGCAGTGCGCGGGAGCCCATCAACCTGATCCTCGACACGGGGTCTCCCAACACGCAAGTCCATTGCCCGAACCCGAACACCCCTACCCATACATCTTGCTAACGCTCGCGTGGTCAGTTGGATCAAGGCTGGCGACACCTCGGGCAACTCGGTGGCCTACCATCCCGAAAAGTCCGAGACAGCCATCGAGATTGAGGACAGCGAATTCCGCATCCACTATGGTGAGTCGTCCGCTGGGCCTCTGATAAAAGTAGTCGCAGCAAGAGTCTTGGCCAACCGTGCTGATAAACAACCCCAAACCTCCAGCCGACGGCGACTTCGCCTGGGGCAGCGTCTGGCTCGACACGCTCGAGCTCTCGCCGACGCTCATCGTGCCCAACACATCGATCGGCGCGGCAACCTACATGTCAGACCGGCTGCGCGCCGACAGCGTGACGACGGGCCTCATGGGCATCTCCAAGGCGCTCGAGGCGACGACGCGGCCGCCGACGCCCACCATCATCGAGACGCTCTCGCTGCACCTGGCGCCGGACCAGCGCTTCATCGGCGTCGACCTGCGCGCCAACTCGTCGGCGGGGCAGTACACCTTTGGCGCGCTGCCGACGCGCCTCTACACGTCGGCCGACGTGCGCTGGGCGGCGCCCGTGCCCGCCTCGGGCCACTGGGACTTTGGCGTCAGCCGCTTCCGGCTCGGCGCCATGGCGCCCGACGTCTGGGTCAAGCGGCCCTTTGTCGCGACGGCCGACACGGGCACGACGCTGCTCATGCTGCCGCGCAACGTCGTCGAGGTCTACTACTCGGCCCTGCCGGCGGCGCACAAGGCTGACGAGTACGGCGGCGCCTGGGTGTTCCCGTGCGCCGACGAGGCGCCCGATTTCGAGTTTTGGGTCGGCGACGGTGACGGCGAAGACGACGGCTACCGCGGGCGCGTGCCGGGGGCCTATGTGCGGTACGCGCCTGCGAGCCATGACGACCCGGACACGTGCTTTGGGGGCATCCAGGACGTCGAGCTCATGCTGGAGGGGGTCGAGGACAAGCCGGATGCCATCTTTGGCGACGTGGCGCTCAAGAGCATGTTTGTCGCCTTTGACATTGAGGAGGGGAGGGTTGGCTTTGCCGACAAGGAGCTCGAGGTCTGCTCGTTTGATCGGAGCTGTCAGGGGAACCCACTTGACGCGGGCGAGCTGAAGGGATGGGGGCAGTAGATTGGGGGACACTGCTGTCTGGCGTCGTCTCTGTTTCGATGACGAGAAAGGGCTGTAGCTCGTTAGTACTGATATGAGACGCATAGTTTACCGCTTCCGCTTCTGTGAAACGAACTTCATTCGTAGACATCGGGCAAGTTCATCGTTCGTCAAGCAACCTCGCCACTGGCATGTACACCAAAGCACTACACAAAAAAAACAAATTAATGTATCAATTCAGGCCCGATGATCGGGCCCGTCGTGCGATCTAAACAAGGACGCGACGGCGCACCGTTTATGCGCCAGCCTCCCGAATTTATCCCATCGCTCTAATTCCATGACAGTAATCAATATGAACACCGCTGCTACTCTTGCTGAACCGATCGTCCCGACGACAGCTGGGCAGGTGGTTTCTAAGCACGAGACCCGGCGTCGCGCGTGCCGATACGCCGTCTCTTGTACGTCGAGCCCGTGTTCTCATCGCCCGCCAGCTCGTCCATGTCATCATCAGCCGTCTGCGCCGCCGGCGTGCTCTCGCCCCTAGGCGTCGCGGCCACGCTCGTGGGTCGCGCGCTGCCGCTCCCCGAAGGTGGCAGCCCGCTGCGATCCCTCTCGGCCGCCCTGAGATCGCCCAGGAGGCGCTCCACCTCGACGAACATGATGCGCGAGTCGCGGACGACCGCGTCTTCGTCGACACGGTAGGTTGAGGGCTCAGCGTCGCCTTCGCCGTCCACCGAGGCCTCGCGCTTCATGAACGAATTACCTGGGCCGCGGTACGGATCCAGGTTGTACATGATGGCGTTGGAGAACATGTGAACCAGCTCGCGCTCCAGCTGCTCGCTGTTGATGATGGACTTGGGCGGCAACAGATCGCTGCTGATCGGGAGCCATAGCGTCGGCGTGCCGGGATCGCCGTCAGGGAGCTTCTTGGCCGCTTCCACTGCGGCCCTGTTGCCGTGGGTCATGGCAGCTCGGATCGATTTGATGTCCTGCGGTTGCAGAATGAGGCCCTTGTACCCTGGCGCATCTCGCTCGCGAATCGCATGAGCAAACTGGTTGGCACAACGGTGGCTGCTGATCTGATCCAGGGCAGGGTTACTGATCTTGCCAAACTGACGGGTCCAGAGCACGTGTGTTGGCGTGCTGGCGGGTTGGGGGGGTAGTTCTACAGGGGATTCCTGACGCTTTCGCTTGTGCGCTAGACGGGACGACACGCTGCTGGGTGTGACGGCATGTCGTCGGCTTGGGCCACTCTCATCTGCCGTCGTATCGCCAGCCTCATCTGGTGGTCTTGGCGTGGCCTCTTCGTTCTTAACACGCGGCGCCAGCTCATGATCATCCATAGAGAGCTCATCGGCCTGGGAAGCCACGGACTGGCTTCGCGCGACGATCCGTGAAGGCGTCTCCTGCGCGGAATCTCTTTGCGCATTCCGAGACGGCCTTCCACGCTTTGGTTTGCCCTCCTTTGTCTCTTTCGGCTCTTTCGGCACGGATTCGACGGATTTGGGTAACGGTTCTTGCTTTGGTTTCAGCTTTGGCTCCGCCTTGGGTGTCGCTTGCTGTGACGGTGGTGCCTGCGATGGCGTGGGCGCTGGAAGATTGTCCGACGCAAGCACAGGACTAAGTGGCTCGAAGGCCGGACTAGGGATATCTCCAGACGGTCGGCCCTGCGCAGGTGGTCGTGGTGTCGAAGGGGTTGACTTTGCCGTCCATCGCGTGCCCGACCCGGTCATTATGAAGGAAGGGGAACTGGCCACCGGAGTCTTGGGCGGAACGAAACTGCTAGGGATGCGCTGCGCCGGAGATGGTGAAGCAGGCAGTTGACCGGCCAAGTGAGCTGGGATGGCGGGCTTCGGAGGCTGATTGGTGTAAGGTGAGCTAACGCGCTTCTGCACGGTACCAGGCTGGTTCTGTGGGTGCGATGGGGTAGGCGAAGGACTGAATTGCTGCTGCACATGTTGCGGCGTGTGGCCAGGCTGTTGCTGCGTCTGCTGCGAAGGAGGCTGAACCACCCAGCCTGGTGGCGGCACCAGCGTCTGCTGCTGAGTAGCTGGAGTTAAAGCAGCTGGAGCTGGAGCTGCAGCGATAGGCCGGTTCTGAGGTGGAACGTAGCCGGTCGCAGCTTGCGTAGGGGGTTGTTGTGGTTGAGCAGAGGCGGGGCGCGCCTGAGGAACAGCCGGAGAGGGGACTGGGGTCGTCGATGGTGGTCTTTGAGGCGCCGCAATGGGCTGAGTAGGTTGGAGACTTGGTGTAGCACGGCTGGCCGGATGTGAAGGCGGCACGAGTTGACCTCCAGCTTGTGGGGGAACGAGTACCGGCTGCTGATGCTGTAAAGGTGGCTGCTGTGGTCGTGGTACTTGTACATTGGCGTGATGTACAGTCTGGGCAGGGGCTTGAACAGGAGCTTGAGCCTGAGCGTGCGCTTGAGGTGCGTTGGAAGGCTGTTGACCTTGGGGAGGTGGATGCCAAGTAGCAGTCGGCTGCGCCTGTCCAGGTGTAGACGGCGCATTGGTTGCCAGTGGCTGTGGTTGTGTAGGGCGTCCCTGGAGCGGCGCCGCCGATCCAGGGGGCTGGTATGGCTTCTCCCATTTGAGCGTGCTCGGGGTTCCGGGTTGGGGAATGGGCACAGGCACGGCCGCTGCTGGTCCAGGCGTCTTTGGCTTTGCGGCATCTGGCCCTGGGCAGACCGCGGGCAAGGGCACTGGTGTTGTCGATTGCAGGTTGCGTGGCGGCGGCTGGCTGGCGCCCATCGGCGGTTGAAGGACCTGACTTGGGGGGCCTGTTGGCTTGAAGGGCTGCTGAGCCTTGCCTTGGGGTGTCAGGGACGGTGTCCTGCGCTTGTGGTACGGCTGTTGGTGGTGGGGGCGGCGGCGGCCGAGGTCCCCGAGG